AGTGGTTATTATTTCGGTTAACATTCATCGTATTTACTTTTTGACATTATTGGTTAAGATTAAATTTTTTGGTTGACTTTTTCCTTATATGGGTTGAAAAATAACTTCAAATGAAATTAAAAAAAAAAAATCTTAGTCAAGGATAGATGAAAAATTCTCTAATTAATATTAAAAAAAATTCATTAATTTTGAATAAAACTTAACATGGTGAATTTGATTAATAATAATAATAATAAATTCTACACACATAAAAAAATTATTTAAGATGCTTAAATAAAATATTAGTTATTTGAAATAATATTTTATTAAAGAAATCCTATCTTACATGATAAATTGTTTAAATATATTTTTATAATTATTTCATCAAATAATTTATAAAAATAAGTAAATGAAAAAAATGAGAATATGAAAAAGAAAGAAATTTTAAAATTTATTAAAAAAAATTCTAAAGAACTAAAATCAATAATTACTTAAAAATATATAACATTATAAATATCTATTTTATATTTTAAAAAAATTAATATAAATTACTCTTAGTGAAAACACCTTTATTATTAAAGCTAAACTAATGATATCTCAACTAACATTTAATCAAAGTCAAAATTAGATAATAAGAATAAACCATACATGAAAAACAAGAATAAAATTATTAAAAAAGTCAAATTTTTTATTTAAGATAGAATTTTAAATTTTAAATTTTTAAATGATTAAACTATGTTATATATAATATTTATTTCTCATAAACTTAGCCTGCACGTCAATGCTCCTTATCATTATCCATTACCAATCCCTTCAAATGGGGTTAGGTGACTTTAAAACCAGTGAATTACGCATGTCAAGCCCTCTATTTGGAATGCATTAAAAAATCTTGGAAAAGAAAATAAATAGATCTAACACTCTCAGCTACTTTTTTTTCTTTTCTTTTTCACTTTCCATCATGAATCCAAAGAAAGTAAAAAATTGGAAAACTAACATCTTCTAAAGCACCTAGGTTGGAGGAGGCACTGTGGAAGAAGAGCAGGAGTGAAAAGAAATAAAATCCAAATCTTTGTCCCATTGACTTTGGTTTTGGAAAGGAAGTGAATTAGGGGAGAAGCAATAAGTTGAGAGATATTAGAAATGTGAAAGGGACAGGTAGAGGATGCCCCTTTGCTCTCTTCCCAAACAGTGTTATTGTGATGAGTGGTTCCATTATTTTGTCCACTTGACACCATTCAAATTGGCAATTAAATGAATGTGGCAAAGTGGAAAATAGATATGGCGGCCACACCAAATCTTTCTACTTTCTACATAGTTTCTATGCCACCTTTCTGCTTATAGCCTTCTCATTATTCTGGGTAAGATACCTGAAAAAGACACCACCATAATTACCATCTATCCTTTTTCCTTTTCCCCCTTTCCCCTTTACCTTCCATTTATTCTATCATCATGCATTCTTATTTATTCTTCTTATTGTGATCATGTATGTCTCTCTTTGCGTCAAGTAATGGAAGCCTCACACACTTTATAAGGAAACAGGAATACAACTGATATACCCCATAAAACACCTACCAAAAAGTCATGTTTTGCAGTACGTGTATTTTCAGTCATATTGCGATTTTTTCCACGAAACTTATAAATATAAAACACACAAATGATTCCCTTGACTTGGGGATAAGAAATGGAACGAATTTCAGTACACTCAATATCAACATACGTTAGTAATCTTCACCGAAGAAGATTGAAAGAAAAGTGGAATCGGATTCTGAACGAAAGTCACAGTTTAGCCGTAATCAATCTGCATGTCAAGGGCAAGAATATTTTGTTTCATTTTAATTTTCTCTGAACGGTTTAAACATTATCACGTTCAAATAGCTTTCTCAAGCACCAATAAGAACTGGTATATAAAGTGAATGTATTTTCAACTAATGTCTAAGTTCATTCATAACAAGAATAAGACAAATACTAACGAGACTCTTAACAAAGTTAGAAAATAAAAAGTATTTATTGTATTAAACATATTAAATTGTTTAACATTTTTTAAATATTTTTAAATAAGTTAATATAATATTATTTTAGCCAAGATCTCTTTAACAATGATATGTAAACACTTAACAATGAAGATATATATGCTAACATACAAGTTTTTTCTGTTTTTGGACTATAATTTAAAATAGTACACATTGTATATATGAACAAGTCCAGTCCTCTAATAGTTTGATAGAGTTTCAACACATTAATGAATTGATCGTTCCTGTGTTTTTTACCTTCCAACTTTTTGTTGTAGCAATGTTGATTTTTTTTTTTTACCTTAACAAACTACAAATATTCCATTACGTTTGATGTATATATTGGACGCTTTTATGTTAGATGATGTTGGAATTGAATGTAACATGTTCAAAAATATAGACAAAAAATTGTTTTTTATATTAAGTGATATCAGAATTTTCACGTCACCTATCTTGTCATCACATAGTTTAAATAAATATTTCTTAACTATTTTATATATTACTAATTAATTTTATGTTGAAATCTTACAAAGCCTAAATATTTTAAAATAAAATCAATTATTTATCACATAACAAAGTTTTATAAAATTATTAGTAAAAATTCAATTTATATATTTTTAGAATTAAATACATTTTTCATTTTTATATTTTATGAAATTTTATTTTACTCCTTACTTTGTACAAACTAATTAAATGTTTTATTTAATCTATTAGTATATTAATAAAATTAAAAATCTAGAATGAAATTAATATAAAATAAATATCAATAGTAAGAACACTCGTTTATATATATATATATATATATATATATATATATATATATATATATATATATATATATATATATATAATATAATGTAAAACAATGATAGCGAATGATTAAACAATATTGAAAGAAAAATATTGTTAAATTATTTCTGTAAAAAAAATTCCTTATATTCAAAATAAATATAATGAATAAGAAGTAAAACATTTACATAAAAGATAAAAAAACTATCACTTTATTTATGTTAAAAATAAAAAGAATGAAAATACAATATATTCGGGAGAAGAAGATAAATATCACTTAAAATTATTATTCCAATCATAAAAATAAAAATATAAAATTGACTAACATAATATTAAAACATTTTATATAAATTTAAAAGTACGTATACAAAATTAAAAAAAAAAATACTCATCTCTGTCTAGAAGTTTATGAATATTTAAAGGTTTCATCTTAAATTAATTTAACTCCACCGAAATTAAATAAAATGTAATAAATTAGAGTCTGTAGAGAGTATTCAACTATTTCTGGAAAATTGTAAAATATGTGGTGAAGAAAGATGGGAATATTCAGAGAATGTTCCTCATCTCATCAACTTCATGCCAATGCCCTGCATCGTGCTGGTGTATGATGATGATGAATGCAATGTTTTTTTTTTCCACTTTTTTTTTTAATATATATAAAAATATACTACAAAAATTTTTTTATATTAAGTCAAAAGTTGAAAAGGTCCACACTGCGGGACCACTAGATAAATGGGAATATTCGCATGTTCTTCTTAGACCATTTAAGTCGTATTACATTTTTTTTCTTTAAATACTTTTAATAAATATAAAGCCATTTCCGCAGATTTTTTTATTGCAAATAATATTCATATATTTTTTAAATTTAGTAATGTAATAAAACTTTTCTCGATGTTTCTAACCAAACAGATCTAAAAGAAGGAAAGACAGATGTATTTTACTTAAATATTTTTCGTTAGGATTTAGAGTAGTAATTAGTAAGACTTTGAGTTAAATTTCATGAATAAAATATGTCATTAAAAGACAAAATTTAACTATAAAAAGTTAATCATAATAAAACTTTTTACATTTATAAATCTAATAAAACAATGTTGAATATGATTTTTTTAATGTTTACATTAATTATTTAAAAAACATTCTGTAAGAGTTTGAAAGTAAATAATAATAATAATAGTAAGACAATAATATCCAGAAAGAGGTGTGGATATTAAATTTTGTGTAACACATAAATCAGCCCAATCCAACTCATCGGTGGGTTGGGTGCCAAAAAAATAACAGTTTTTTTTTTCTTTTCTTAAAGTTTTGTTGACCTAAGTCATTAAAATAAGTAAAATATTTTTAAATACGTAAAATCAATTAGTAAAATATTAAGTAGTTCAAAAACGTACGTAGAAAAATTATGTTAAAGTAAATAAGATATATTTAAGAGTGTTAAGTTATATTATTATTAGTCTATTATCAAGATGAATCAGTTAATATAGAATTATTTTAATTACATTTAATGATTTTTATTTTAAATTTAAAATATGTAACTGTGTGAAATATTTAAAAAGAAAGTTTTACTGTTCATAATATTTGACCTGATTCGATATTTCTTCGAATAGAAGATAGTTGTGATCATTAAAAAAATGTTGTTATTAATGTTAACAGGATTTAGAATATATATATATATATATATATATATATATATATATATATATATATATATATATTATACAATTTTTTTAATTTAAAAATATTCTCCATCCATCTTAAATAAAAATCTTTAACCAGTATTAAACATTTTCCTCTTTTTCTAACCTAAAAAAGTGTATTGAATGACAAGTAAAACATGACAAATTGAAAATTAAATACGAATAATATGGAATTGAAAAATATAAATTTAAGCCTAATGAAGATTGTGTGAATTATTATTATTATTATTATTATTATTATTATTATTATTATTATTATTATTATTATTAAATAGGCTAACCTCGAGTATCAACATTTTTTTAGTTGATAATTTTTTGAACAAAATCTTTGACTTAATTTCATATCTAATGTTGATGATGAGAATTAAAAAAAAATGTGCTAGTGATCTAGCAAAACAAGAAATGAACTGAAACAAGATTTGTACACTACCTTTCCACCACCACTTAGTAAGTGGTGGCTCTTTCACTATCCATACAAGATGATAACATGTACAAGATTACTTACTCTACATCATTTGTTTAACCAAAATTAAACTTGATACATCATCCCAACCTCCAAAGATGATGCATGAGGAGCACTAAGTACATTGGAAGGCTCCCTGCTATTTTTCCTTAAGAATTCATACCCACAATTAATAACCAACTTCTTCAGCATGTTGGACCCTGGTTTTGCTCTCACGTAGGACTGTCCTATAATGTAGGCCACTCCAACTTCCCTGGCTTCCATCAGTTCTTTCAACTCCTCCCTCGTATCAGTGTCAATCTTTGGACTCTCAGGCATAATAAACCTCACCCTTTTCTTTGGTTTGATCACCTTGTTTGCTTCTGATGTCCCAGCTATGTCCACATCGACCTCATCTCTCTCACTCACCAACAGGGGGTGGCTAGTAGAACAGGTTCCAACAACTGTCATTCTTCCACCCTTTTCAGGCTCATCATTTGAAGAGTTGCATGCACCACCTCCTGCTTGTATGAACTTTGCTATGCTGCACACAAGGTCTTTCTCAAACTCATTATCATCTTTGTGGACATCATGGTATCCATATCTCACTATGCACCTGTAGACTCTGAAGTATCTTGGACCTACACGACCAACTAGAAACCTTTCCTCAGGTCTAACATGTGGAACTGGCACATGCTTGATGCATAGGAAAACAAGGACCTGGTGGAATGCTGGTAGGTTGGTCACAAAGTGGGAGAAAATAGCAGGAATTCCGGACACCAGCTCAGTCTGCACAAGGCCAATTCCACGTACTCTAGCAAAGCCTAAGCTATGGCCAAGGCTGAGTAACCAGCTGATTGAAACCTTATTTTGAACATCAAATTCATACTTTTTGAGAGTGCCGTAGTGCCACACACACATGACAGAAAGAAACACAAATGCCAAAGCAACTGGCACCCATGCTCCTTCAAAGAACTTGATCACAGAAGCTGAGAAGAAAAGAGCCTCGATGGAGCCAAAAAAGAGAACAAACCCAACTGCAAGCAGAACATTCTTGTGCCAGCAGATTACAATAACCAGTGACATCAAACATGAGGTGACTAGCATCACTGAGACAACTGCCAAACCTGTTATGCACAGCGCACTATGTCATAAGAAAGAATATGCTAGAAAAGAGAAATGTTAGCAACACAATCTCTAACTTTATTGTTGACTGAAGTTTACTAGAAATCTCAAAATTTTGTAGGTCTCACTTCTTATTTAATGAATCCAACTATTCCTTTTGTATTTTCCAATGATAGATAGTGTGTTTGCTAACACTCCTCAAGTAGAAAATGCCACCCTCTAAATTCATGTGGTGTTTTGGAATTATTACTTCAATATTGATGGATAGTGATCTTACCTGATGCATTACCCATAAGCTTTGTGTCTCTGAAACCAATAGTTACAGCCAAACACAAAAGCATCAACAACCAATTGATCTCAGGGATATATACTTGTCCATGGATTTTGGATGAAGTGTGAACCACTTTCACTCTAGGGAAGCAACTCAATGCAGAGCATTGCCTAATGATTGAGAAAGTTCCAGTAATGATGGATTGGCTTCCCACAACTGCAGCTAGTATGGCTATCACCAGAACAGGCCATCTCAACTTCTCTGAAACACAAAACGGTCAAATCTTCCAATCATTGAGAAATCTACCATCATTTTCATCTACACCTCGTAAAGAATAAATTATACTACCTACCCGGTACAGATACATAAAAGCCAAAATGATACTCTTGCTCAACATCATGATGTCTAGAAAAATAAGCAGCTTGCCCCATATACGCGAGAACTAGAGATGGATAAACCAAAGAGGTGAAAGCGATCTGTAGAAATTTGAAAATTCATTAGATAAAATATAAAGTATGCATTTCAAAAATCTATTTAACTAAAGAACTAGACAAATAAAAAATACCAATTTTGAATAATGCTTTCTTTCCCGAGAAGCCATCAAATTATTAAGAAGTAACAAGTTATAAGACGTATAAAAACGTCTATCAAAGAGTTATGGAATTGAACGGGGAAATGGAATAAAGTTCAGGTACAAAAATAAATGCAGGAAATATTTGAGGAATAAAACAGAAAAGTAAGATAGGGGCAAGAAGAAAATGATACCTACTACAGAAGGACACACCAGTAGATTTTGCTTAACTTCTAAACCTAGATTCTTAGCTAAAAAGACATTCATAAAAATTCACCAACGTCTAATACCTATAAAATTAGTAATGCCAATGAAAAATGTTTGAAATACTTAAAAAAACTTATATGGCCAAAATTAATTTAAACGAGTAAAGCTAAAATAAAGGGTCTATAGTCTAGGTAAACAGTAGTTGAAGTCTACCTATTAATATCTAACTATATTGCACAAGAAAAAATGTGTACCATGCATATAGATACTGTATCTTTCAAATTTTAACTTAAAATAAATATTGAACGAAGTTACCATATATATATATATATATATATATATATATATAGATTTTCCAACACTGCATTTCCACGAATACTTACATCTTCACATATATTTGCGTAATCAGAACTTATTAAAATAGACTATTACCGAGATAAGCTACAAACTCTCGTGAGTCAAATTTTCTGTTAAAACTAAGTGGTATTAAGATGAATTCTGAATGTATCTCTGGAAGGAACGTGGGTAACACAGTTGCTACTATTCATAATCAGGTCGAACAACAGTGTTGGCTAGCCATTAATTTTGGAGTGGAGTGAAAAATTTCAACATGTCAAGCTTCAATCAATTCATGGTATTCTACTGTTTCTATAGTGAAGCAGATCAACTACCAATCCCATTTCAACAGAAACCAATTGTAAAGTAGCATACCTTGATTGATAGCTGAGAAAAGTGCCCGAGACCAGCAAACATGGCTTCTGATCCTGAGAAATTGAAAGAATGCATTAGCAAACGAGGAAATTAGCATAAATATAAGTTAGTCAATCACAAAGCATACAGATGAACCTGTTATGCAGAGCAAAATTCCACCAAGGGCCATCCATCCTCCTCTCCTAGTCTTCCTTAAAAATTGGAAAACATAATATGGAGAGAGTGCTTGGTACACACGAGGGTTCCAGTAAAAGATATTATATAATCCAATGGCACTGATGCAGAAGAGCCATATACAAACTATGGGAGCAAACAAGAAGCCAACCCTGTTTGTGCCATAACGTTGAAGAGCAAACAAGCCTATTAATATGATGCATGCACCTGGAACTTCTACATCTGTCAAGTTTTACAAGTGCTATTAGTGAGTCGTGTGACCTATGTCTCGGATAAAGGAGAAGTGTGGCATCAAAATTCTAAATGCACATAAAAGCAAAACTAGACAGATGGTAAGCTAACATAAATCAAGTAAATTCACAAGCTTATAGTAGAGCAGCAACTATTTTTTATGATCTTATCCTGTCCCTTTGGATCTTAACACATAAAACCAATTTTCAAAGAGCATCAAATTTTGTGATGACATGTAAGTCCACTTTAACCTTGTGGTAATCCTAATTCCCAATCTAGGAAGCAAGAACAATATTACGACAAAAGCATTTTTCATTGCTATATAAAATACGTAGAATGCTGAATCAACAAATCACTTAAAAAGAAGCCCTGTATATGCTTAAAATCTAAGTCTAGCCATATCTTCAAAAATATCTGATAATCCATCTGTCGACCTTTCACATCAGCAGAAATGGTTACTCAATAGTATCAGTATAGCTTGATATTCTAGCAGTATTAGAGTGATAATGCAGAAAAGCTTAAGATTCCAATAGATCTTTGCCAATATGAGAATTTTTTTTTTTTTTAAATAATTTACGTTTGAATTAATAGCTAAAATTTATCATTAAAACTAGATTAAAAATCAAAAAGCAATTCTCCCTCTCCCTCCTACCTAAAGACTTATCAAGTTCTAATAAAAACTTTGGTGGATTGCAAGGAGGGAAAATCCAATCTGATAAGCTTTTTCCATGAACTGGAATATAGACAGTTATTCACTTCAGTTTCCACTGACACGATAAAAGTTTCTCTAATCGAAGTCTAGAAGAAAACTATCATTTGCGTTAAGCTTCTACATCTGCAACATCAACCAAGTTACATCTCAGGCTTTGTCAGAACTGAACTAGAGCAGTATCAAAATTTGTAAAGTTACCATGAATCCATTACTTAGATGTTACCATCATCATTGAAAAATCCACCCAATTATCAAACTTGCTAGCTTGCATACTAAATGCATAGTAAAAGAGTACAACTCAAGCATGCAGGCCCAGATTATAGGAACTCCTTTTATGTGATTATCCTTCTGATTTCAACTTTTAAGGTACAAATAAAGGTCACTCTGAAAGAGCACAGCACATCCTTATGTAATTTTGATTACAAACCTTAAAAACTTAGAGTATTAAGAAACACCAGCAAGAAGAGAAAACGGCTGGAAAGGAGAAGAAATTAAAGTAAAATAAATCTTCGTTTGACCAAGCAAGAAAATTAAGAAATGATAAACAAAAACATGCCATGACCAAACACAGGAAGTCTTGATGATGAACTTACATCTGTGATGCTCCTTGGACATTGAAAGCTCAAGGCCAGACACAGCCGAGAAAACTGCATTCAATCCAACCAAAAACTGTAACCAACAGTCCCCAAAAGAACATATCCAAAATCAAAACAAACCAAAGTTGTCATTATCACCAGAAATAGCAGGTTTAAGGACTCCAACACCAATCACCATGCAAGTCCCTAACAAAGCCAGCACCAGCAAAATTCTCTGCAAGACCTTGTGCCTCTCCAACAAGGACTTGAGGCTGGAGGCAAGGCTTCTCTCTGCTGTCACACCACAGCTATGCTTCTTGTACTCTGAGAGCTCCTCATCTGCCAATTGGCAATTAGGCAACAAGCCAACTTTGGCATGGCGACACAGCAAAGAGTACAGTGCAAACGTGCCACCTTCACCATTATCATCAGCTTTCAGCACTACGAATACATACTTTACCAAAGGCACCAATGTAAGCGTCCAGAACACCAAAGACAAAACACCATAAATCTCTTCATTGGTCTCTGAGTGACCAATGTCTTCAGAAAAGGTGTTCCTGTACACGTAGAGTGGTGAAGTGCTTATCTCTCCATACACAACTCCAAGACTCTGATATGCGAGAGTCAGGACAGTTTTCCATGATTCTTTCCCCTACAAAAAAACCAACATTCTGGTTCAACACTAACATGGTTCAAATTAACAAAAACAATACTAAAAGAAAAAATTGCACATATTTTAGCATGCCCAATTCACCTTAGAAGAGTTTTGAAGAATCCCACGTTCCAGATCCATGACACGTGCTCTTAGAAATCTAAATGAACCATTTTAAACTTACGAACTGAAAACCATAGGCTTTGAATAAGACCCAGTTGCTGCAAAAGCTCTATCCCCACCAGTTAGTAGCACATAGGAAAAAAACAATGAGATATGAAGGAATTAATATATGTTCATAAGTGTGACACCGTGACAGAATAATTCCCAAAAATAAAATAAAGCTGTCTCTATTTTATATTACTTTATTCAACTTTCCAGATCCATGAAGGAGTTTCAAAGGCATTCAAGGATTCAAGGAGGTCCAGTTGTGCATGTGTTTTGAGAATTAGGAAGATACACACGAAACATCGTTTTGAATATTTTAATGTAAGAGTGGAAAAAGTTATGTCAGTTGAGGAGAAATCCTATACAGCAGATTAACAACCATCAATGGCGACAAGTAGGCTTTAGTAGCGAACAAAGCCACCAATAATAATTAGACGCTGAAACTTGGAATCAACAGTAATTGTTAGACATAAACAGAAATAAATAAAGAAAAATGCTAGCTGTATATCTGCATGCCACACATTTCTCACGTCTCAAAGTAAGTACTTGACAAAATTATACAGTGCAATATGGTTTTTTAGGATAACACACTGTACAAAATAATTTGTAAAAATTTTATCTCATAGTTATCCCAATTATTATTTTTAACTTATGAAGTAATTCTTTTCATTTTTTTCTCCTATAAACACTTGTAGAAAAATTTGTTCAAGCATATCTATTGTAGATTTTGCTCAAATAGAAAAAAAAAAACTATTTTTGAAGACAAAATATTTTTCTAAACATACAATAAATTAAACTAAAAAATTAGAAGAAATCCTGATAAATTCATCCACACACTTCATCAATCAACAGCAATAATGTATACAATTAATCCAAAGTTATTTTTTATTTTTTGTCTCCTAATATGCCCCAGAGAAGTTTCAAACAACCTTATTGTATTAATTCAATGTAGCTATACTAATTTACTAAATTATTTTTAGAAAATGTAATTTATCGATGAATCAATTTTTAAAATTTTATTTTGTTCGACAGAAAAAAGAAATCTATTGATTTATAAAATTTTAAAAGCTATTAAAAAACTAATTTAATTATGTTTTGGAACTTGAATTATATATGTATTTGTACGGGCAGTATTATAAATAATAAATTTAGGGTTTGTCCTATATTTCTTTAAAGAGAGAGAGAGAGGAACCTTGGATGGGAGAAAGTGACAGACAGAGACTAAACCATAGACAGGGTAAGAAGACAGAAAGAGTGAAAGGGAGAAATTTTATAAGTTTTGTGGAGAAGTTGGTGCATTCTGTTTCAGAGAGGTTTTCCTTTCTTCTCCACTGTAGCTTCCACAAATAGTCATGCACAAACTCTTTCGTTTTCTGTGTTACTAAGAATTACTTAATCAATTGTATTATTGAATTTTTTCCAATCTAAGAGAATAAAAAGTCACTATAAATATGTATTTTAAAACAGCTATTACTGAAACTTAATAACTTTGTTATAGAACATGGATTGATAAATATTTCAGCTTCTTCCCAAATCAAATATTTAATTAATAAATATCAACAGTTGAAAAAGGAGTTTTACCATCTACAATAGTTTTATTACATTTAAGCTTGACTCTGTTATGTAGGAGATGCATATGTATTTATATTAAAATATGTAATATTTATTAACTTTATTATTTATAAAAATTCTCAAAATTAAATTATATCTCAGGGTGGTTTAGATAATTTATTATTAACACCCTGTTTCTCTATTACATTTATTTGTTTCTTTATTCATTCGTCCACATATAATTCTCTTTAAAGATATTATATATTATATTAATTTAACCATTAAATAACATTTTTTAATGAATTAAGCATCATATTTACATAATTTAAAAATGATTTTATATTTTATGAATTAGTTTTACTTTAATTTATTATATATTTTATTAAGTATCAAAGAAAACCCTAGAAAACTTTTATCAAATAATATCTTAAAACAAATGTTGAAGAGAATAATATGAGAATAGAAATATTTATTTATTATTATTAATAAATAATATGAGCCAATAAATATGTTCCAATCCCCAATGTTTTTCCCTTCCTCTTCTTTTAATGTTTTTTTTACGGTTCAATAAAGTAATATTTTTTATTACAAGCAATAGTTGCTTCAGGAAACAATTTCTGTCAAATTTTAATAATTTTGATTATTACGTGACTTTCCTCTAACTAAAAAGTAAATAAAAATAATATTTTAAATTTTTTTAGTAGAACAGAATCCATTATAAATTGTTTAATATGATGTGATATAATAAATTTATATTTTATATTTTTTTAACGTGGGATCAATTCATATAAGTTATTCTAATTCAAGTTTTTTTAAGTTTAAAAAAAGAAATTGTTGAAACAAAATCAAATGTTAGTTGTTTAAATACTATCTGACACAATAAAATTATGTTTATGTTTTTAACATGAGAAATAATTTATGTACGATGTTTTAAGTAAATTTTTAATAAAATACAATAAATAAATAAAAATGTTAAAAATAACATATTTCTATTTCAAATTCCTAATTTCTATAGTTTAAGTTCAAATTAAAGAAATTAATAATTAGTTGAATAAATAATTTTAGGGTTAATTATGTTTTCATTTTCTCTATTAGTCTAATTCTTTCATTTTAGTCCTCATAGTAAAGATTGATTATATTTAGTTTCTTAGTTCAAATAAAATATTGAATGGTTCATATTTCCTAATGTTATTAACGGGTCATCTATATAGTTAACAAAGTTTCATTGTGGAGTAACATGCAAATGATATATCTCATTTTAATTGAAATGTCTTATCAAATCGAGTTTTACGTTATGACTTAGATGTTATTAATGAAAAAAAAATTGTTGAACAAGGTTGAAGACAGAAGAGGATTTGATCTGTGCCAAAGTAATATTTGCTCCAATTATTTATTTGTTGAAGATTTGTGACATTGTAGCGTGTACGTGTGGAGGTTTATTTGCATAAGACACATAAAATATCATTTCTTTCATTTAGTTTCTCTTCACCTAAGGTATATTTTTTATCTTTCTTTCTTTGTTGCGGTTTTTTGGAAATTTTGTTGGAAGAGTCATTGTTAGTGTGTAAGACATGTGTTTGTTTAATTTAGTTGACATTTTTTTAACAATGTCTTCGTCGTAGTAAATTTAGGGTTTATTGTTGTTCGAATGTATTAGGTTTATTGTTCTACTGTATTGTTTAATTGTAAGAAATGAGTTTTTCTATTACATTTAATCACATGGAAGAGTTACAAACTTTCCCACATTATGAGGGAGGAGAGGAGCACATCTTTCATGGTATGGATTTTGATAAACGATCGTACTTTGAAGCACGAAATATAGTTAGGGAATTCAAGTATGATGGTGAGATGATGATATGATGGAAACCTAAAAAAGAAATAATGGGCAAACATCTAAAACCATTGTGTCTAGATAAGGATGCCATAAAATTATCTAACTATACCCTGTGTATAAGGGATGAAGTAAAAATTTATGTGTTACATGTTGTTAGTGAAGTTGAGATAATTTAGTTCCTGAACCAATACCTAAGGATGGAATCAAGGGTGTTGATGGAAATGAGGATTGTGAGGGTGATGGTGAAGTTCATATGGAGGTTAGTAGTGATGGTGAAACTATAATAGATGGGATGGATAGTGAGATTGTAATGGACAATGTTGAGGCTAGATGGTGTTAAAGGTGAAGGTGTAATGGATGATGTGAAAGTTGATGATATAAAAGTTGACAGTGAAATAAATGATATCGACAATGAAGAAGAAAGACATACATATTTGAATGGTAGGTTTGGAGTGGAGGTTAACTCACATAGAAATGTGAATGATGTACTAAAAAGATGACAAATAAGAAAACAAAGTGATGAGGGTTCTAAAAAAATAAATATTGTTGCTAATCATGAAATGGATAAAAATTATAATAGTGAAGAGTTATTGTGTGATGATGATGTGGATGATGATGATTGAAGGAAATTTCCAAAGTTTAGATTTAAAGACATGTGCAAGATATTTAAATTAAAGTTGGGAATGGAGTTTTTATCTTTGAAAGATTTCAAACAAACAATTAAAGAACATTTTGTGTTAAGTGGGAGACAACTCAAAATTGTGAAAAATGATTTTATTAAAGGTTGTTTGGAGTAAAAGGTGTGGATTTATGATGTTGGTTAATAAGGTTGGTGACAATCATATATTTAGAGTTAAAACACTTATGATAAACATAAATGTGAGAATTTTTGTTAACACAAATGCAAATAAAGATTAAGTGTTCAAAGTTATGATTAAAAAATTTAAAGATGTAAATATAACTGCTAATCAAATTATTGATGACATTAAAATATGTTATAGTACTTATTATTACATAGAGAGCAATGAAAGTAAAACATATAGCAAGAGGCATATTAAAGGGATATGAGTTTGTTCTAGGACAACTTGAAAGATTCAACTAATCTTATCTTTGTTAGACAAATGACATCTAGAAGGGGGTGAATAAATGCACAAATTAAAATAGATGTCAAATTAAAAATTTATTTGTGAGTCAATAATTTGTTTGAACATAGATAAAACGGAAGTGTTAATATAATCAGAAAAAGAGAAAGAGATAAGGAAAAAAGAAGAGCACACAGTAATTTATACTGGTTCGGGTATAGTCAACCCTACATCCAGTTCCCAGTCAACTCTAATCACAAGAGTGACTCCCAATTTACTAACTTTTAAATTCAGTTTACAAATTACAATCAACTCAGTAGAAAAACCAGTAAAAAGTAAACTAATTAAAAAGACAATCACCTCCTTAGAAACCCACTAAGGATGAACACCTCCCTAGAATCCCACTAGGGATGAACACCTCCTTTAAACAAATCAAAGGATGAAAAATACCTCTTTAAAATCCCACTAAGGATTAACACCTCCCTAGAATCACACTAGGGATGAACACCTCCCTGAACAAGTCAAAGGGATGAAAACACCTCTTAAAACCACAAAGGATGAAGGAGTAAGATAAGAACAGTCACACCTGGGTAATGGAGATAACAAATTATAGAAGCCTGTAGAATGTCAATCTCCAAGAACAAGTGTGATTAACAATGAAAGCACAGAAGACAGTAGAGAAGAAGGTTTTTTCAGAAGATGTAAAATATCTCTGTTGTCTTGCTCAGAATTCTTTTCTCAAAACTGATTGAATGTAAATTATATTTTCGAATTTTGTAATTGTGTATTTTTTATTTTTCATCAAAACTTAATTAAATAGAAAAATAACATCAGAAAATGACACTTGGACATTAATATTTTCGTGAATAAAAATCAGGATATATTCAAAAACATTTATTCTTTAAAACAGATATATTTTTCAAATTTGAATTGTCATAATTGATTATGTTACCAGTATAATAAATTATGACAGAGAAAATCATTTTTCTATTTCTGATGCATCGTAATTGATTATGATAGTGAAAAATATCATGTTATGAATTTTATCACACTTGTGCTTTGGAGGCTTATGCATAATATTACTTCATCAACTTGTACCCCCATATCCAATATTCTAAGACTCTATATAGTCTTCAGGAATCATCTTGGGCTTGCTTGAATCATCATCTTTATCAAAAACATATCTTGAGCATGTAGGGAAATGTTTCACATTGTCACAAACGTCTTAAATTCAATTTGTCCTTAATTCATCTTGAATGGTGTTGACTTGAACGTAGTTGACTTGAATCATCATCAAAATTATCTCTTGAGAATGTAGGGACATTTCCATCAATGTCCCTCTCATTGCTTTTAACCTAGTCAGAATTTACAACCTAGTTTTGAGAATTTTTATGTATTTGGATGGCTACAAGAAAGTTTTTTTAGGTGATTGTAAACCTTTTTATCGGTGTTAATGGTTGTCATTTAGCATATGAGGGTCGAATACCAGTGGTTGGCAGTAGGAAAAGATCCAAATGACCAAAATTTCGCTATTGCATTTGCCATGGTGGAGAATGAGACCAAAGAAACTTGGAGATAGTTCCTCAATTTACTGTTAGATGATATTAGTGATATCCAAACCAATTGTTTAATGTTTATATCTAATTAACAAAATATACAAAATAAAATTTGAAAGTATCTTTACTGATTATTATTGACTTATTAGATTAATTCATAATTGATTTTTTGTTGCATAAGTTCTACCTAAAACATTTATATTGCAATTTCAAGAAGAAATTTGGAGTGGGATAATCAATAAGAGATTTTATGATTGGAGTTGTAAATGTAACATACTACCAAGTAAGAGGCAAAAATGGAAGAGATGAAAAAGCTAAACTTAAATGCATATAAGTGGTTAAATAGAATTTTTTGTAAGTGTCATTGGAATCATGTTTTCAATTGTTGTCTTAAAGCTTGATGTTTTGATCAATAATTTGTCAAAGTCTTTTAATAATACCATATTATTAGTTAGAGATAAACCTATAATAACAATGATGGAGTGGATTAATAAATATTTGATTAGAGGTTTGCAAATGTAAGCCCTTGTTTGTTTTTAGAGATTTTCTTTTAATAGAGAAATAAGGTCACAATTTTGCATTGTGTTTGCATCAAGAATTTGAATTAATTTGTGAAGAAATAACGTTTCATCTAGTAGAGATATGATGAGAAATGAAAGTCATTTATGTCCTCATAAATTGATTAGTTGAGAATAAACATTGAATTACATGATATACCCTAACCTAATAATTTTGTTTTTTTTTGTTAAATTTTCTAAAACAATATTAACCAACAATATTTCCAATGAATTATGTTTATTTTTCATGTTAATAATATGTTAAGATAATAAATAAAAGTAATAATTTGTTAATATTAAATTTTTAAAAGTATTTTTTTAAATTTTTATATTATAATTTTTATAAAATAAAAGGAACATTATAATTACATTATAAAATAATTTATACAATTTAATATTAATTATAAATTAATATGAAATAAATTTATATTAAAGATATTTTGGTTATTTTATTGATTTAATTTATTATTTTTTATTTCTAATCAATCTTATCATTTATCATCTTTTTTAATTTTTATCCTTTTTATCTTAATTTAAATAACTATATTAATAATAATACTAATAATTATTTTAATAATAAAAATAATTATAATTATAATCATATTAATAATTAAAATAATTATAATATTTAAAATTATATTAATAATAATAATAAGTTTATCAAAGGGTAATTTGGTAATTTTTTTAAATTTTTTATTAATTTTTTTTATAATTCACATCAATCAAATCACTTAAAAACTTTTTCTCTCATTTTTCTATATCTTTTATCATCTTTCCTTTAATCTAAACAATCTTACTTTCACTTCTATTTCCCCTTAAATTTATCATTTTTTAGTCTCTCAAATTTATCTTCTAAAACAAGGACTAAGAGAGAAATTGTCAAAATATTCTAGCAATATGCGTCAAAGCTAATGAAAAGGCTAAATAAAGAGGTTTAGAAAAGTGAAAATTAGTTATTTGTTTAGTCTAAAAACAATAATTTTGAAGTTACTCATGGTGTTACAGTGTAAACGTGACTTTAAGGATCATACTTATAGGACTTCGTGGGTATCAGGGCAAAAATGTTGTTGTTATTTATAAAATATTTGCATATGAAAATTATTATGGATTATAAATTTCTCCTATTAATGGAAAACGATTGTGACCACGAACAAACTTACAAGAAAAAATTCTACCTCGAATATATAAGACACATATAGGAAGGCATGGAAAATTGAAGAAAAGAGAAGTTGATGAATCTTTCGATCATTCAAAGCTTAACAAGAAAAATGCAATCATGAGATATAGTCTCTATCATAAATTTGGTCACAACTCTAGGACTTACATTGGTACCATAAAGACTATTAAGATAACTTGTTTATAATTTATTATATGATTTTCTATACAATGTTTATTATACTAATGCTTACTATATATGTAGGGAAAACAGAATTCCAAAAAAACAAAAATCATGAGAAGAAAAATAGGAGTAGAGATTTCACCTTTAGAGTGACATAACAAACCACATCCATACTTACTCAATCAACATTAGGAAGGAATGTCACATTCAGATATGCTCAGTCCATGTCAGAAATACCAACAGAGTGGGGAGGGATGAGAACCAAATATCAGTGTGACCTAATTTTAGGGTCCCAAGCTAAATCAACCAAGAAGAAAATGTGAAGATTGTTTGAAGTTGTGATGTTTTGGTCAAGGCACGGACAAGTATTATCTCTTTTAGACTATTTGCTTTGACAATTACTTTAATTATTTTTTGTATAATTCAATGGTTGGTGTGTTGAATTCACATGCCCGTTACTTTTACTTTAAATTGATGATAAAGTTGTATTAGAATGCTGTGGACCATTTGTATAACAGTATTTATGGAAAAATTGTATTGCTTTTTCAAATTTTATTTGTATTGGTTTTTCTATTCACATATTATTCAATTAAGTTTAAAAACAAGAACAAAACTTGCACCGTCATAAAAGATAAAAAAGAACAATTCAAAACACATTTTTTTCAATACAATAAAGCTCTTCCACTTAATAGACATTACATACTATATATTACAATTCATTTTATAACTAATATAAAACAAAATATAATTATAAATAAATAAGAGACACCAAAAGAATATATAAATATTTTTTTCACATTTCTTTTCAGTCGACCAATTTTTCCTTCAACTTAATATTCTTCCTAAGCAATTTTTTATCACTTCTTTGATTCTACATGCAACTTTTTATTGTTCTTTAGAATTGGTTAACATTGGTTTTCACATCATCAACCCATTCAAAGTAGTTACAATGTGACTAAGTCTACCAACAAAACAACATAAAGCAACATAACTAATGTAAAAATAAATATTCTTAGTGTTCATTTTTTACATCTCCAAAACATTTCTGCTTGCTTTTAAAAGCAACCATTTTTCTCCACATGCACTAATTATTAGTCCTATTTGTGAAGAAGACGCACTACAAGAAAATCGCGTATTACCGACGGATATTTACCGATGAATTTGTATCCGTCGGAAAATTATTATTACTGACGGAAATTATCGACGGATATAAAATATTTGTGGAATTTGATCTTACCGACGGATATATCCGTCGGTAAAATAATCATTAGTTACTGACAGATATATCCGTCGATAAATCCGTCGGTAATTGACAGATGAATTTACCGACGGATATATCCGTCGGTAAATCCGTCGATAAATTAATAATTAATATCCGTCGGTAAATTCATCTGTAAATTACCGACGGATATTTCCGTCGATAAATTATCAATTAGTAAATATTCAACTAATTAAAAAATTAAATATTTTTTATTTAATAATTTCATTTAATCATAATTAGATTAATTTATAATAATTTCTTAAATTAAATAATTTTAAAAAATAAATATTTAATTATATATAAATATATAAAAATATTTAATTGTATATAAATATATATATATATATATAAATATATAAATATATAAATATATAAATATATACAAATATATAAATATATATAAATACATAAATATATAAATATATATAAATATATATAAATATATGTGTATATAAATATATAATTATATTTGTATATAAATATAATTTATTTGTAAATTATTATCAAAAAATTCTGGTAGCTTAGTGGTTGGATTTCTATAAAAATGTAGTAGGGAAAAATAATTAATAATAAATAATACAAATATAAAGGGAAGGGGTATTCTATAAAATAAATAATCTATATAAGTAAAATATTTAATAAATAATAAAAATATTACCGACGGATTTTGACCGTCGGTAATATCAAAATTTCTTGTAGTGACATTACTTAGATTTTGATCCATAACTCCTTTGCATAAATCATAAATAACAACACTAAAATTTCATGGTCCTTCACTTGATTTAATTACTTCAATAACATTTGTTGCAAGAGGATAAGAGAATAAAAGGATATGAGAATAATATAAAAAAAGAGAAGATTACACTAATAAAGTTGTATGACTTATGTCATGAATTTCGAAAATGAGAGAAAATAAGAAAACCCTAACCACCATCAAATTGGAAAATAACTATAATGAATTTGGAATGGATAAAAAAACCCTTGCATACACGTAATAAAAATAAATATTAACTTCAAGCGAACCAACTCATTTCTCTTGAACCTTATTTGATTATTCTTTTTCAATGACAACGTCTAAGTGACACAATGAAATTTAATTTAGAAAAAAGAAAATAACACTTCAATTAGAATGACACTATTATTTACATGTTAATTTTAATTAGATAACACATTAATAATATTAAAGGATAAAGATAATTAACAATGTTTTATTTAAATATAAGACACTAAATATATATAAAATTTACATTAAAAAAATATAATACAGGCAAAAAAAACATAATTAACCCATAATTTTAAATCTCTAAATTAAACCATGCAATTTATTTTTTTATTTGGTGTATCTCTTGATCGAAAATTAATATTTAATTCGAGTACACTCAAATATTGTTATTAAGATGAAAAATTTGTCAATAAAATTGTGTGTAGATATTTTAATAAATACTTCTTAAGTCTCGGATTATATCTAATCTTAATAAATGTTTAGATCTAATTTATCAAAACTTATCTTAAAAACAGAGACAAGCATTATTGAAAGACTTAACTTAGTTATTGAGAAACTATATTTTATTTATTAATTATATATGTTTTTTTTTTAAAGATGAAAACACTATATTAATTTTATTTATTAAAATATCTTTAATATACCGTGAATGTTGTGTATCTACCGCGTTTTTATCCCAATGTATGGTTCTTATATAAATGGAATGAATGAAAATTATTTTTATTAAAAATAAAATATTTATGAAATAGAGTTTTTGTTTCTAATATGAATTTCTCTCGTTTTATTACTTTATATCTAAATACATATATTTATGAAATGATATTATTTCATGTTATTTGATGATCATGATGACAAATACAATT